ACCAGTGGCAGACCTGCCAATTCGGGTGGTTAATGGCAAATGGCAATCGAGCTCTATGGTGCCGGGCAGTGAGCACTACTAGGGGACATCAGGCCCTCAGGAAACCCTCATGAAGTCTGTTTCTAATTGTTTGGTCAGAGACATTCACACCAGTGGCCTTCTGGAGGTCATTTTGTAGGGCTCTGGCAGTGCTCACCCTGTTCCTCCCTGCACAAAGGAGCAGATACTGGTCCTGCTGATGGGTTAAGGACCTTCTACGGCCCGATCCAGCTCTCCTAGAGTAACTGCCTGTCTCCTGGAATCTCCTCCATGCTCTTGAGACTGTGCTGGGCGAAAAAAAGCCATGACTGGAGACACAGCAAACCTTCTGGCAATGGCATGTATTGATGTGCCCATCCTGGAAGAGTTGGACTGTCTGTGCAACCTCTGTAGGGTCCAGGTAGACACTGCAAACTTCTGGCAATGGCATTTATTGATGTGTCATCCTGGAAGAGTTGGACTGTCTGTGCAACCTCTCTAGGGTCCAGGTATTGCCTCACAATACCAGTAGTGACACTGACCCTAGCCAAATGCAAACTAGTGATAAACAGAAAATATGAGTAAAGAAAAAAAAATGTCAGTGGCCTCTACCTGTACAACCAGTCCTGTTTTGGGGGTTGTCTCATTGTTGCCCATCTAGTGCACCTGTTGTTAATTTCATTAACATCAAAGCAGCTGAAACAGATTAACAATCCCCTCTGCTACTGAACTGGCCTGATCAATATCCCAGGAGTTTATTTTTTGACTTGATGCTATACTCTGACTAAAAAAGTGTTCCTTTTTTTTGAGCAGTGTGTATGTGTATATATATATATATATATATATATATATATATATATATATATATATATATATATAATATATATATATATATTATATATATATATAATTTTTCATAAATATAAATATATATATTTTATGAAAAATTATAAATATATATAGCTAATAATTATACAGGGCTATAAGCTTTACTAAGGATGAAAAGTGAGCTTTAACTGCCTTGCGTTCACTTTAAAACAACCAGCTATTTGGAGAAGAAGCTTATTTGTTTTCCTTCACATGATTAGATGATTGTGATGAACAGAAGCTCACTTCACACCACTTTACACTTTAGTAAATGAGGCCTCAGATCATGTAGCCTCTCCCACCAACTCATTACACCTTTATTAACACAGGCCCTGTGAGTGAAATCAGCTTCTGTCACTAAAATTATACTTCAGCTGACGTTGACTGGATGAGATTGGATGTTTCCTAGAAAATATAGCCATTAGAGGAATAATCCACAGCTCTAAATATGTTTTACAGTAAATAATGTAGATGCTGCAAGCTTGTCAATATTATTTTGTTTATTACAGGTACTTATATAGAGCCGTCAATTTACATAGTGCTTTCACATCAGTCCCTAACCCTCAAGGGCCATACAATCTAAGGTTCCTAACTTCCAGTCATACATACACATACTAGGGCCAATTTAGACAGGATCCAATTAACCTTCCAGCATGTCTTTTGAGTGTGGAGGAAACCCATGCAGGCACAGGGAGAACATGCAAACTCCAGGCAGGTGGTGCCATGGTTGGGATTTGAACCAACAATCCTAGTACTGCCAGGTAGAAGTGCTAACCATTTAGCCACTGTGCTACCCAAATATGGGATAACACTTCAAACATGACTTCAGGTTACAATGATGGCTCAAACTTTGTCCTGTCTAACATGCAATATACTCTCCATTCAAGAACTATGCCATTTCTGGCAGTTAAAGGCATATTCCAAACACATTTGTGGGGGGAATTTGGGGACATTTCTGCTAGTTTTTTTTTAAATCTCTAACCCTATTGAGAGAAATCCTCACTTTATGTCCCTGAGGCACCAACACAAAAAATGTCAGAAGCTCTAACATCTCCCCATGCTGCTTTAAACTTGTTTTAGATGTCATTTACATGACCAAATTAGTTGGGGTGTGGCAAGAGCTTGTGGAAAACTTAAGCCGGGAGCCCAGGTGTGTGAAGACATACACGACTGGGAAGCCTGTAGAAAGCAATAGCAAGCTGAAAACTGCTGCAGCTGACCATAGCTATCTGCCTATGGTTAGGGACAGATCAAAGCTCCTGGACGCAAGCAGCTTGCTTCCAGAGATGATCATCTGTCCCTAACAGCAGGTAATCACTTCCTGTGTGATTGCATCCAAACACTGGTAGACAGACAATTGTGTCAACCTGTCACCATTTTGGACAGACTTCTCAGCTGCGGCTGTTCACACAGACCTGGGCACCTAGACACAGTTTTCCACTTTGGTCTTGTGAAAGAGGCCATAGGTGTCCATTTATGAACCAGCGGTAATAGATCGCTGTTCAGTTCTCCGGCATTCTCGGAGAACACAGTTCTCCTGTGAATGCAGTTTATGAAGCAGTTCTCCGAACGAAGGGAGAACGGTCTCCAAACGCTGGAGAACGGTCTACAAACTCTGGAAAACGGCTGATTTTTCTATAATCTCGCGAGATTACAGTAAAAGATCAGTTTACTAAACAGAGGTAAATTATCTCTGCTTAGTTTGCGGTCCCTCTGATTCTCCAGCTCTGGGCTGGAGAATCTGGAGGGAGAACACAGATCTCCAGTGAAGGGCTGACATGATCTCCTGTGTGTCATAAACTGTGAATGACCAGAGAATAGCTGAGATCCGTTGAATCGCAGCTATTCTCTGTGTCATAAAAGGACACCTTAGTCTGTCTACTTGTTGAGATTTGACTTGAAAAGATTTCCCATCATTTCTTGTACTAACAGAACTCCCCAATAGGAAAAACTGACAGAGTCTCTAACCCTCTCTGTTTAGCCCAACCAACAAAATAAAAAGCTTTGGTTGGACTTTAAACTAGCATGCAAATTCCTGTCCCTAAAACCTCTATCATTCCCAGACCCAGTGATTCTTTGAAAAGTATTACTGTGAAGCATGTAAGATTTTTCATGCTCAGTATTATGGATACCATACTGGAGGAGCATGTTTTTTTTTCCTGCAGTCCAGCTAAAAGTCACTTTCTAGAGAAGTTTGTGATGACATATAAAATTAGACACCTGCTGCTATGTTACCACATCTCTTGCTGTTAAGATTGTATTAAACATGGTTATAGCATCTCATACATTGCAATATCTTTCACAGGATTTCTTGCAAAAAGATGAATACAAGTCACTTGAGTACAACCTGACAACCACAGAAGTGGCATTGGAGAATGTTACAGCTGTATGGGATGAGGTCAGCATACATTGAAACTGTAATTGGTCCGTATTTTGGACATAAGACTGAATAAAAAGACCTAAGTTTAGAAGTGCTGATAATATAATACTATTTGGGGATTTTCTAAAGCTGGTGCACTCAGAATCTGGAGCAGGTACAGTATGTATGGTAACCGATCAGCTTCAACTTGTTCAATTAAGTTATGACAATTCAGACTGGAAGCTGATCTGTTTCTCTACAGCTTTTGCACTCTCTAGTTATAGTAAATAATCCCCATACTGATCATTGCGAAGGCTTATACAGAGTGTACCTAGGCTGGGGTTGGAATTTTGTGCATTCCTGGGCTGCACTTATTGCTGCTTCTTTGTGCATCAATAATTTGTATGGGAGTTAGCACTTCCACATGCACTGGATACAAAGACAAAGGATTTTAAGATTTAAATAAAGGTGGCCATTCTCAAGATGACATTTTGGCAGGGCCCAAACTTTTTTTTGCTCAGCTGCCTGAAGATCTCATGATATGTAGCACTAAGAATTGTATAAAAGACCTCGTGAGGCTGCCATCAATTCTTTAGCGCCCCTTTCACTCTGTGGGTCCGATAAGGTCGACCTGAAAAAACTGACTGATCAGATGGTGCATTCACCCCTATAGACAAGTGGGTGTAAATTGACCCATCTGTCTATTTAAACTGGTCCACCTCTGGGTCCAATCCAGTAAAAAAATGGAAGGGGATGCATCCTCTTCCATTTAGGTGGATCAGATCAGAGGGTAGTAGGGTGTAAATGGACAGCAGAGTCTGTTTACTCCTGGTCGTCCATAGAGCAGAGCGGGAAAAGGTGAGATTAACTGACTGCCACAAACATATAGAGTATGTGCAAGTTGGGGAAGATAGTAATATCTAAAGGGGAAGATCATTTTATTTATTGCCAACTTCAATTAGCAACAGAAGTGCTAATTTAAGTCTGGTATTAATATTATTATTACATATTATTAATAATAATATACATGGTTTATATAACATTAACAGTTTACACAGAGCTTTGCAATATAAAGAGAGACAGTACAGTTACTATACAGTTCAATATAGATGGATTAGGAGGGCCCTGCTCATGGACCTTACAATCTAAGGGAGGGGACTGGGGTGGTACAAAAGGTAATAGCTATGGGGCTGACCTGATGGGGGTGACCAAAGCACAGTTTTAGGTGGAGGTGGGATAGGCTTCCTGAATAAGTGAGTTTTCAGGCTATTAGTTATTGGTACCAAGCTTTTCAGATTCCGGTTTATCGATTTTTAGGATGTGTCATCCACTAAAACACATTAGCATCCAGCATATGAGGCTCGAATCACAACACGAACACACTGTTATAAGAATACTTATTTTTAAAAAGTGACAGTTAATTTCAGTGAAGTCCAATGAAATCAGAAATTTACAGTCACATGGCTAAAACAAAGCTTCTTATCCTCACATTAAAGCTTTGTGGATTGAACCTTTTGACTGCTTGATAAAGACATCCTGGATGCCAAAATGTCCCACAATGATGTCCCACACTTTTCCTGGCTTCCTGTTCTGCTGTCAGATTCTAAGTTTTCTACTCCACTTTTACATGTGTATTTCTCCAATCTCTTACATTCATGTAAATTAATCACATTTTGTATTATTTTTATGTATTTGTTTTGCACCCATGCAGGGGTTTGGAGAAGTTTTTGGAAAAGCAATGCTTCAAAATGGAGGCGGACCTTCTAAAGATGACCCGAATCTGATCTTTAGTAACTTCTCATTGCATGTTACACCAGTACTTTCTAACATCAATTTTAGTCTAGGAAAGGGAGAGTTACTAGCTGTTGCTGGTTCTACTGGATCTGGAAAGGTAAGGCGTGGCTCATATATTATTAGAGTAATGTGGATGTATTACATACAGTTATAAAAAAATTAAATATTTTGTATATTTATGTTAACTGTAGTTGTTGTGGTCAGTATAGAAAGAAGGTGGTAATTAAGTAGGCAAATGCTTCTATTGAATTTCCAAGCTTAATCTGAATATCCATTGAATTTTCAATTATTATGTTTCTTCCAATATTGGGTGATTCACTTTGTGAATGTATTGGATTTTCGTTTGGTAAAGTTGCTGCAATCTGCTATAATAAATAGCCTCATTAGAGTTCTGAGCCAGGAACTTTTACCACTGCAATTAATGATTGCATTTACAAAGGTGTGCACTCCTTTCAGATAAGGAGAAGCAACATGTGTTCTATTTTCTCACTTACTGGACAATTATATAGTGTGAAAAAATCTGATCACCCTGGCCACACACAACAAATGTAAACTTTACAAAAGGTCATCATACTGCAAGCTAAAATGTGCAACAGACATAATAAGAAAAAACACTACAAGAACCCGTGATCCAATAACATGTTAAAAAAAACACCTGCAATTACGTTACTTTCTGTAAAAGAATTGTACATTGTCCAAATGTTTTAATTGTTTAAACTAGGTATTAGTGTAGTTATATGCCCTGTGTTGTTTGTTTTCCTTATCTTTTAATGATGGGCTCACATGTCATAACTGATTGATCCCCCTATGTCCATGCATTGCTTCAGTTAACTTGTGCTGAAGGGTAAGAGAGCTTCCTTTCCCAAGTCACAAAGCATCCAATGCATGCCTTGGTGCTGAGTGCCCATTGGTGCCCACAGGTGATGAATAAAACCCACAGACTTACTGTATTTGTGGATATAAAAAAATTCAGTTAAATGACCTTTTCTGTTATCAAAAGAGCTTTACTGAAACATCATTGGCAAACATACAAACATGTAGGCTGCATGGCAGCAATGAAAACAATAACCATAAAGTGAGATGAAGTCTTAGACCCGCGCAGGGGTCCTCATAATGGCAGTAATATATCAAAGAATGACTGTTTCTATTAGTAATGTAAGAAAGGGTGGGATTTGAATGTAATGTAATTAAATATATATATAAATGGTATCTACTTTCTGCATGCAGAGTGGCTAAAATATGGAACTAACCGCTTGTGTTGACAGGATTTTGTTTGCTTCAAGTGGGTTTTGTATTTCCATACAGGTCAATTGGAATGCAAAACTTGCTTGATACAGGTCAAATGCAGGTCAGAAGGAGCTCAGCTGCAGGAAAACTGCACCTGTCATGGACTTCTAAATGATCTCAGAAACAACTCAACCTGATGTCAAATTGATGTTCTTGACACATGCCAAAAGCCTATTGACCCTCACAATGTAGTTATTATGTCCCAAATGGAACTTGCCATGAATGATTTTCTTTCTGGCTGTTTTCAAAATTAAATTGGATCGCTGCATTTATAAGGATCCATTGTTATACCATTTTTTTTAGGATTTTAGTTCTGCCTTATTCCACAAACCCTGATAGAGAACCTGACACTACTTAGATTGAGGTCAGATTTGTGGAGCTGGGTACTGGATGTTTTAACAAATAGGCCACAGTTTGTTAGAATTCACAATATTTCATCCTCTTACCTCATCCTCATCATTTGTTTCCCCAGGGATGTGTCTTGATCCCCTTACTTTACACATTGCTGACATATGATTGCTAAGTACTGTATATGAGCAATCATATTGTGACTTTAAATATTTTGGGGTTCACATCTCTGATAACTTCACCTAGAACACCAATAGAGTTCGCATAGTGAAGAAGTCTTACCGATGACTTTACTTTTTGGGTAGATTGTACTTTCCTTGTCTTGGCAAGTCAGTCCCCATCATGTTTTAACATTATGCCACGGAGAGCATCTTTACTAGTTCTTCCCATCATGCTCATGGACCGATTTGCCCCCCCCCCTTTCAGGTTGCTGCCTTAGTACTAAAACCACCAAGACTGAGCAACAGTTTTTCCCCTGATACTGTGAGATTGAAATCTGAGAAATTCTTTATCATCCTGAATGGAAAGCTCCCGATGCATGTTTGCAATTGGGAGCTTTCCGATCGTGTGACCAGTGTCACAGCAGTCACATGATCAGAATGCTCGCCTCCACCTCCCGGCATTTAGATCTTCTTAAATGGTCGGGAGGTGGCGGCAGAAAGGAATGGCAGTAAAAATATCCTAACCCTTTTTTAGATTGGACCTTTTTAGAGGGTTTATGCTGAGGAGGTTGAAAATTAGCCTTTCTTAGACAGCAATACAATATGAGCATGATCCTATACTTCCTTTATTCTGGGCCCTCTATGAATGTATTTCTTGTAATGTTATGTAAGTTTGGGTGCTTTGTGCACTACAGGATCATTGGCTGGTATTTGTTAAAGTAATACTTGCTTTTTGCTGTCTAATAAAAATTCTAAAATGATACCCCCTTTCCTTTCAAAAAAAGAGTGGTGGCGCTTCAATCTACAGTAAAAAAATTAGTATTACATACATTCCTCAAATTTCTAAGGAAGTGGTGAAAGTGTTCAAAAAGTTCAGAATAAAAGGTGGGTACAGTTATTGCATAGCATACTCATTCAATAACAAACATTGGAAATCAGTGAATGCTAATTGCTTTGTGTTCACCACAACATATTTAGTATATCCTGTACTTAAAGTGTATATACACCTTAACAATTAGCTTTTTTGCTCTGTTAAATATACAATTGAAAGTGTTTTGTTATATTGGTTTGATAAGTGTTAAAAAAAAATACCTGTTGATTTTATCAGAAATTCAGCATTGTTCTTTGTGCAGTGCTTCCTGTGTTGTTTCAGGGAGAGTGATGAACTCTCCCAGTCTTTATCATGGGTCTTCAGAATGAATAGCCTTTATGTTATGAAGAAGGGAAATGGATAGGGTCCTTCAAGTGCTGACCCACAAATCATCAATGTAAAGCTCCACTATTTCAACATTAAGGAGCACCTACTAAAAGCATAGCAAATGAGTCTTCTGAAATGAGCTTTCAAGGACATGCCTACAAAAGCTTTACAAATCTTGCTCAAGTCACTTTCATTAAAAGGCGAAACCTGTGGCAATATTTTCAAAAAGTTCAGTCAGAGAGAATCTGCTACTGATAGGGATATTCCTTTAAAGTAACCTTTAATTACCACACTCCTGAGAAGGTCTACTCCTGCTTTCAGAATCTAGGCCCAGAGCTGACACCGAACCTCAGCCCCCGCCAATCGCCCAAAGTAGACAGTCAACACAAAGAAGCTCATTAGGCAGCAAAGAAGACCTCACAGAATTGGACATCTCAACACTCTCAAATTCTGCAGTGCTTTGGCTCACAAGCCCTTCACCTTGTCTCCACTGGCTGACAATGACTAGCGGATTGTTAGTGACTTCCAGCCATCACCTGATGTCACATACACTGTATATTGCCTTGTTTCTCAGTTAACCACAGTAGCAGAACCATCCCTGTTTATCCCTACTTGTACTGTACTTAGACTCTTTTCTTTCCCTTTCCCTGATCTTAAGCAGCAAAGAACCCCGTTATTTATTATTACATTGATATAACAGTGTTATTTGCAGTGACAGTGTTATGTTTGGAACTCTGTTCAGGACACTTATATACCTTTGGCTGGTTACTACTCATATTGCCAGGATCCTCACACCCTAAAGCAGTGATATGAAGCTAAATATGTTACCTTTAATGCATTCACAACAAAAAATGCCCCAGTACTAGTGCTACCCCCATCCCTCCACCCACAAACACTAATTGTGTAACCTGCTCACAACCACAGGGTCCTCCACAGTCTGTGCTTGTCTCCAAACTTCCTGGTTGCAGAGGGGAGGTGAGGGTTTGGCAAGCAACTGGCTCCCTCAACTTTAAGTCAGAAGCTGGGAGAAGGGAGCAGGGACATGGCTTGCTGGGTGCTGTGTTTGTGTCAATGGAAACACACAGCCCTGGCCTGTAGTGGGCATCTGTGGGTGTCCTCTTTAGGAGAAGCTACCTGAAGGAGACACCCGCAAACAGAAGAGGAGGCAGCAAGTATGAGAATGGACAGCTAAACAAAAATACAAAGATTCATGGACTATACGCAATGTGTAAAAATGTACTTCTTGAATTACATTTTTAAAAATTTTAATATTACTTGGTCACAAACATATTTTTGCAGATTTTGGAGGACAACTTTAGCACATCAAGAGCCCAGGCCCTCCTATACCTCACGTGTTAAACACCATATGCCCAAAAGGGCTTGCTCTCCCTCAAGCAGTGGGAGTCCTGGTGACATTGTTCCACAATAGCTGATATACTTTGATCCAGCAGCGCACCTGTGCCTTTTCACTTGCGTTTGTATTGAAGTATTGTATATTTTATTGAAGAATGTGTATAATACCTGGTCAGGTGGGGACTCATCTCCCCTCCATCTCCCCTATACACAGCCAGGGTAATTCCAGACATATCCTGTTGTGGTGCTACACCATTATCTTTAAGCGGAATGCATGTATACCACAGCTACATTCCACCTTGCCACAACATGGTCCTCAGTCGCATGTCCTAGCTCAGGGCAGTGAGGTTATCATACATATGGTGCCTCACAGTGCAATTATGTTATAAATTATATCGCCAAAAATATTAGGATTCCTGCCTTCACATGCACACACGCACTTCACATGCAACTTTAATGTCATCCCACTCTTAGTCCGTAGGGTTCAATATTATGTTGGCCCACCCTTTGCAGCTATAACAGCTGCAACTCTTCTGGGAAAGCTGTCCACAAGGTTTAGGAGTGTGTCTATGGGAATGTTTGACCATTTTTTCAGAAGTGCATTTGTGAGGTCAGGCACTGATGTCGGAATGAGATGGCCTGACTTGCAGTCTCCGCTCTAATTCATCCCTAAGGTGTTCTGTCGGGTTGAGGTCAGTCTAGTTCCTCCACTCCAAACGCGCTCATCTATGTCTTTACGGACCTTGCTTT